ATGCAGGCCATCAGGACGGCCAAAGAGATAGCCCTGGACAAAGTGGAGACTATCGAGGAAAAGCTGAAGGTTACCGAAGCAGATAGAGTCCGTCTGGACGAGGAACTCAACTGGCTCCAGAAAAAGCACTCTAACTTGCAACAGGAGATGGACACCGTCAACAATGACCTGGCCAAAGCTCAGGACATGATGCATTATGCAGAAGAGCGGGTATCTTTGAGCGAGACTGAAATCCAGAATTTGCACAGGAGGATCCAGATGTTGGAATTGCAGTTGGAAAGGAGTGAGGACGCCCTAACTCAAAAGAAGAGCGAAGAGATGACAAATTCGGAAAAACTGAAGGAAGCCGAACTTAGGGCCACTAATGCTGAGAGGACCGTCATTAAACTAGAAGAGGATCTTGAGAAGTTAGAAACTTCCTTGTCGGAGGAGAAAGATAAATACAATACTCTTCTTAAAGACCTGGACGATGCCTACAATGATGTAGCACTGTATTAGGGACAAATATGAACTAAAATCGACCCCCAACAGAACTTTTTTCTTCTCTCTCTCTTTCTTTTTATTACTATTATGATATATATATATAAAAAAAAATCACATTTATTGCTATTCCTCCAAATGAAATTCAAATGCTTAAAAAAAAGTAAAAAAAATAAAAACTTAAGTTACGGAAAAAAAGAAAAGGAAAAAAGAACAGTAATTAAATATATTTCTTTACATGTGACATTATTGTGACTTCCAACACTTTCACAATTGAAAATAGTAATTATAAAAAAAATATTATTAGAACAATAATATTTATCATCTGTAATAAATCCAAATTAATATAAAACAGCTTTTTTGTTGTTTTTTTTAACGATTATAATACAGACGTTTGATGTTTGGAGGAATGATTAAGTCCCTATGGTGCACAAAAAACTTCTTTCCATTTCACAATGTCCGGCCAGCGTCGAAGTTACTCCATAAAAGAAGGGTTGATTGACAACGTTCACAGTTGATATTTATGTAGATTTTTGAGATACAAACAGTAATTATTTCTCTTTTTATTTATACAAGGAACGGAAAGAGAAGCACTGGATTGCAAAGAAAAGACAAGTGGTTAAATTGTAAAACAATTTAAAAGAAACCATCTTTGATATAGATATAGAGTTAAGATTGATCATGATAAAGACTGTAGCGTCCATTGGAAAGAGATATTTCTATTCTTCTGAATAAGAAACGAAATCTGACAAAGTATCTTGCAATAACAAGGACATGTGTAACATACTTGCCTGTATGCATTTGTGTCTATTTTTGTTATTTTACAATAACATCGAAATTCGAGTTTAAAAAAGAACCCTGAAAGACACCGCAATACAAATAACAATCAATACATTTTTTTTTATCAGAGAAAGGGATAAGTAAATGTGATTTTGACTATTTTTGTTTTATATCTATGTTCTGTATATTTATTTACCTAACAATTTTCACCTCTACCCATCAATCGGCCAAGTAGGAAAAAAAGTGTCGCTCTCAATTATTATTATTTTTTTTTTTGGTGGCGGGCAGAAATAAAAAGGTTTACATCGCACACACTTATATTCTAACAGCTTTTTAATTCTGTTAGAAAGTCTAATAATTACACGTTTATTTATTTTATTTTGTGTAAATAATGGTTTGCTGGATCGATAAGACGCAAAGTTAAAATAACTGGCGACATGAAAGAAAGACAACCAAATGTCAACTAAAGAACATCTTGTCGTCTGCCGTGAGTATGTTCCGGACAATAGTTGAAGAATACAAAACGAAAAAGAAAACAGGAAAAAGAACTTTCGGAATTACCCATGTTTGCTGATCAGTCTGGATTACTATAAACTAAAAAAGAAAAAAACGAAAAAATTCAAAGAACGAATTTAATTTTGATTTGAAATATACATTCGTACTTCGGCAGCAGGCGCCACTTTTCTCCCATCGCAAACCCTATCAAAGTTTAGACACCATGTGAATATATCAAGAACTGTTGTACAAGTCACTTTCACCGCTAAGAGAGCCAGTTCCAGAATGTATCCTTTTACTAAAAATAAGAAAGAAAAAATATAATTAACTTTCGTCCAATTTTTGCTTTCTATTTGATGTGATTTGTTTGTAAATCGATTTTGTATATTGTATGTTTTTGTGGGCTGTTCGCACTTTTTGATTGATATTACAAATTTCATGTCATGCTTTGGGGATACATGTGGATTAGTTCAAAGTGTTTCAGGAACTGAAAGCAGACTTCATTTAAAAAACATTTTCCTCTTTACCGAAATCTGTTCATTTCTTACTTTATTTATTTGAGTGTACACATGTCAGCAACGTAAAAAACTACACAAACACACATTCTCTTATACACACACACACACACATATATATATATATATATATACACAAATGACTTATCTTCCGACTTTAAGTTTCGCTCGTGAGGGTAAATAATATGAATGTAGATAATAAATGTTATGTATGTTAATGAATTATATATGAGAGAGAAAGAGGGGAAAAAAACTGCGACAAAGTAGAAAAGTTTTTATGTCATGCATTTGTCTTTTAGGACTTCAGCGATGGAAACATGAACAAAAAGAAAAAGAAACTAAATGAAATTAGCTAGACACACACATATATATATATATATATATATATATATATATATATATATATATATTCAACACATTAAAAAAATTCTCAGTCTCGTTTCCTTTGTGCGCATGTGTAGTCGCGTCAGGGTAAACATCACTTTAATTCGATGAAGTTCAAAAGGACGAAAGGCATCATACGAAAACTTTCCACACTTTGCCATAGTTACCCCACCATATATATATATATATATATATATATATATATATATATATATATACATACATACATACATACTGTACTAAAATACAATTTTCAATACCGAGAAATACTGTGTGTGTATAAAATTTTGCCTAACTTAGTAATGTGTCTATAAGTCCTGTGGGTAATAAACAACACGGAATATGGTATTTTTAATATAGAGTGTTATTGTAAACCTCGTTTAACCTGATATCGTATGTGTATGCGTGCGCAGGACTTTTTGTTGTATAATCAAATTATAGCTTGTTGCAATTTTATGATTAGTAATGTTTTCATTACCAGAAAAATCGCAAACGTTATATATATATATATATATTATATATATATATAAAGGCAATTGTAAATACACACACATTATTTCTGTTCGTGCGCAGGTAGAACTGCCAATCTCTAAGTAAATAATGTCAACATCTTCTGACGGGTATAATGTTAGTCTTTAAAAAAAAAATGTTAAATCTAATGTAATGACAATGTTAGAATCAGTTTTGAATTATTCAAAATTTGTTATTTATTTATTTTATATTTCCGAAAAAATTTGAATAGCAAATCTTTTATTTTTTGTTTTCGTCTCTTACAATAAGTGTTAAACACTTTCTGAATAAAGAATAAATATGATCAAATTTAAAAAGGAAAGAAATCGAATGTTTATGTTTCAATAACACTTCATTATAAGAGAAAAGATACAATGAGAAATAAAAATATTCGTATTTTTTTATTAGTTAAAGAAAATTATTGTAAAATTTCCTCGGACACGTTACTTAAATGTTTATTATATTTCTTATAAATCTTTAATCGGCTCTCAAATAATTGTAGTTGCTGTTAAAATGTGCATACTATATTTAGAATGGTGCATAACTTTCTTTTCTTATGTAGATAAGAGTTCTCTATTTTAAATTCTTTCAAAAAGCTTAAATAAAATAACATTTTTGTATTTACTATTAACTGCGTTATTAATAAATGGTCAGCCATTTTTAAAAATCGTTAAGCGTGAAATAACGCTGCTAAGGAGTGAAGAACAGACATACACACACACACACACACATATATATATATATATATATATATATATCTCCCCACACACAAACAAAGGTTCTTCCCCAAATGTGACCGAATACGAGAATTTTGTGGGGGTAATTCCTTCTTGTTCAGGTCGGCTGCTTAGATTATATATGCATAATGATGAGATTCAAGGGTTTAGCCACCGTTCGTGCGAACAGTTTACTACAATTACAGAGATTTGCAAAACTAGTTTTTAAATCTCATTGGTTTTTATAACCATCGATAGCGATGTTAAAAAAGCTTTCATAGGCAACAAATTTAGGATGTAAAAGAAGAAAGAATCCGTTCATAATTTTTCTTTTAATATCACCACAATATATGTTGCCAAAATAAGTAAAATTACTAAGAAAATGTATCAAACAAATATTATGCGTCTTCATGTAGATCTCTTCGTTTTGGGCAGTGTAAAGAAAAGAATTTGTGAATATATCGTTTAAATATGTCTATAGGACCGTTTGGCTGTCTTTGGGTGAAGAAGTGAATAGCTGGAGTGCCCGAGAAAATGCAAAGAAATTATGGCTCACTTATTATAGTGCAAAATAGATCCAATGTAGAGTTGGCGTTCGTATAGTACCGTTTTGTCTGCATAGTGTACTGTCTGACTGATGATACTAACGAATGAGGAAATGGTACTGCGTATTTATTACAGTAAGATTAAGTTACTACTTTTAGGTAATTGGAGAATCTCAAAGTGCCATTATTACATTGCGTTTATGTTTCACTTATAATTTTAGAAGGAAGTCGACTAAAACTACTTCATGTTCAGTACATTCTTATGTCCGAAGACAGATACATACCAACTTCGATACGCAACATACTTGTCGAAAAATCATTAAAAAAAAATGTTTAAAAATAATGAAAGCACATCTGTTTTGTCTATCAATATAACGTGGTTGCGAAAAGATCAAAAGGAACCAATACTCATTATACGAAATTCATATGTCACGAGCCTAAAATTTGTTTTAATCAAAAATTCTCGCGACCCAAACGTGTTTTATTTACTGACAGGTATTTAATAAAAAGAAAAAGAAAAACGATTTCGCCATTGACAATAGTCAACTTTATTTTAGAATCATGTTTCGAAGGGAAAAATGACCTTGAAAGACAGCGTTTTCGATTCAAAATATAAGAATCTCTCACATCAGTTTCCCTTTAAGATCAGCGCGTTATCGAAATATTAAAAAAAAAAAACAAGCAAGCGCTTCAACGGTACCCTTTTTTTTTTTAAAGTTATACGTACTTAAGCATGTTTAATTTAAGCTATTTCTCACAAACCCTTATCACAAAAATATTTGTTTCATGAAAACTGAGTGACAAAGCTTTTTTTCATTGTTTTTTTTTTGTGTGTGCTTAAAGTACTTCCTTTTTTTTTTCGACTTAGTGCGTGTAGAAATTGTCCAAATAATTTTATGCCTCTTAAGATATTTCCTCTTTTCTGTTGGTGACAATCAGAGTTTAGGTATATCGAAGTGAAGTTGGTTATAAAACAACTGCTTCGGCATCTTACTTCAATAGGCAATATATTGGTCATCCAATCATTTATTTATTTATTTTTCTCTCTCTCATTCATTATATATATATATATATATATATATATATATATATATATATATATATATATATATATATTTTCTTATGGAGGCATTACTTGACACCAATAAACAAACATGACCCAAGTTACCATGACAATAGAATATTCCATTACTAAGAAGGGGGAGATATCTGGCTGCTAATACATTGCATTATTTTGTTTCGTGTTAGCTTTCCTTAAACATGTTATCCGTTAATTATTTCAAAAGCAGAAACTTTCATACATACAATTGAATTAATTAGTTAGATGAAATCCTCGATTACCGATACAGAACATAGCTAACACAATTGCAAAAATAATTAAATATAGCCGTCATTTTTTGACGATACTACTTATAAAGTATATTCTAGAACTCTTTTCCCGATATAATTTGAAACGAAGGCATGAACTTAAGAACTAAAATGTTGACGAATGTGCTTAGACTATGCGTCCCACCTTCCTCCCTCTCTTTTATAGATACACGCGTTAACGTTAGATGGGTTCACGCTTTTTAAAAAAATAAATCTGCGAAAAATAGTCTATAGAAAAATTTCTTTAAAAATGTAATTCGTTCATCAATATTAGAAGAATTTGCTATTAAGATATATTGTTAATGCACACTCCGTGTTCTCATCAGCCGAATAAGCTGAAATGAAAGGTCATGAGAATGAAAGTGTTAAGGTTGTTACTCTCAATTTTGTTCTAAGCTTAATTCGAGACCTGCTTTTACACAAACAAGTAATTTTGCTACATAAACGCCTTTGGTGGCATTATTGAATAATATTGTTTGTTTCAATGAATGAATGTGTATATGTGAAAATTAATTATTTATTAGATTCTTAAAATAATGTTTACTTCACAATATTTAAAATAGGCACAAATCATTTCTCGTTAAATAATATTTTTTTTATGTATGGTGGCTTTAGGATATTATCACATGAAATAGTTCTTCGTTAGTCTTTAATATTAAGGACTTAGATACGCATAAGTGCACACACACACAAGCGTAAGTCTTTTATTATAAAGGTTGTTTGGGAAAATGGGTGTTTATCCACACTCTGGCGGCATGTGCATCGCAAATCATAAGTGTGCATAAAAGTCTATAACATAAAACACTTAGTCTTGCATTTGAACTCCTGAAGTTTTTGGTGATTAAGATATATATATATATATATCTCAAGCACACACACACTCATGATGTGGGAGCTGAAATATTCTCGGGTCGACTCACTTCCCAAAATCTGATAAATTTGTTAGTTGGGTCATTTATGCTTGTATTCTTGTGTATGGAAATCCATTACCTATTCTACGAGAAGTTCTGAATTTTTTTTTAGAGTGGGGGGGGGGTCTGATTTTTTGGTTAATTTTTAGATTTAGAGATAGATCGAACAGGGAACTTTTTATTACACCTGCATATTTCAATTATAAGATTTTGGATATGTGGTAGTTAGACTTGCAGCAAAAATATATCGGATATACATTTTCTTTTCCCCACCCCAACTAAAAAAAATATTAGCCATATGGAAAAAAGAAAACTCATTTTATCGCAAGTTATTTCTT